ACCTGGACTACAAGTATACCACACTAATACCATGTCATATTATATACCTGGACTACAAGTAAACCACACTAATACCATGTCATATTATACACCTGGACTGCAAGTATACCACACTAATACCATGTCATATTATACACCTTGACTGCAAGTATACCACACTAATACCATGTCATATTATACATCTGGACTGCAAGTATACTACACTAATACTATGTCATATTATAGAACTGGATTATGAGCAGAAAAGAAAAAACTATTTGGATTAAAGAAACTTGTCCTATTTCTTATTTGGTAGTGCTGTATAGTGCTACAATATGTCAAAAAAACGTCAAAGAGATAGCTCGACAGAAAAGAACTACGGACTTGAGATAAAGACATTGAGTAAGAAGCAGCAATATAAACAAATCAACGATGCATTCTAACTCCATCGGTCACATGAGGTTATAGTTGCGAAATGCGAAGTGCAGCAATAGTCGCCATTTCTATTCGCCATCCTACTAACTACTATCTTCTATTTCTCTCCAAGTTCTTTTAAGTAGGTGTACAAGCAATAATATATATGGAAAAATACTTACTGAAAAGATGAATAAAACTCTTACCCACCACGAGGTTTTTCTTTCAAATTGAAAAGAGCGGGAAACGATGAAGTATTATTCTTACTTCGGGCCTCCTGTGGTTAACACAGGTAACCCATCTAACAGTCAAAGTTAACAAGAATCCAACATGGCGGACAGACGTACAGTTGAATCGTTTGAATGCGATCCCGATTTCTGCCCAGAGTGTGGTTCGATCTTGCCGTTACCTGGACTAGACGATGTTGTTTCTTGTAGGATTTGTGATTTCCAAAAAGATACCTCAGGTAAAATGAAAATATTTGAGTAAAATTCAATTCTCTGTTTCAAAATGTTCACAGAATGACTTGAAGTCTCTCTTTCTGAACATCTATCTTCTTACTTTTAAACTTCGTAGCTTTAAAGCAACCAGATTTATTTTCTATTTTAGAAGGATTTCAACTCTTTTCCTAAAGTATTTAATTCAATTTTATAATTTTACAATGTTTAGAATTTGAAGGAATAGAAGTTCACTCAAGAAAAGTCTTCAACGAAGTGAAAGAAAAGAAAATTAGTGTAGAAGATGATGAAGATCCAATAGGACCCATGGTTAGTGGGATAGACCCCTTTACCTTGTAATCCCATTTCATATTCACTATGTGTCATTCCCTAGAGTATCATGTCTTTGTTTATAATGGTTGCACATGAAAAGACACATTAATTTGATACAATTAAAACGAAGAATTTTATTCTTAAGGGAAAGACACATGGTCTAAAATGGAAAAGAACATTAATATTAATGAAAATAATGGGGTTCTTATATAGTGCATTTCACAATGTCTCAATGCACATTGCAGTGGAGGACTTTACAGGCTCCATGTTAAGGTGCTATTAGCAGCCATGCAGCTTACAATCATGAGTGATTGGTTAGTACATTAGTGTTATGCCTCCAAATTTGGTACAAGCTGTTGAACCGGGAGACAATCCCCTACACTTACACGAATAATTCAACAGGTTCTATTATGTTCCCCATTTACTGTAGGTTAGTAAGGGTTGGGAGACAGGGCTTACGGTTTTAAGTCCTTGTCTGAGAAGACTTGAAGGTCTAACCATTTGCAGATATAATTACAAAGGCAGCACCTTCTCCTCAGTTATTTTAAGACACTGAGTGTTGGTCTGGCAGAGGCTTGAACCACGGCCTCCCGCACAACAGACAGACGCTCTTACCAACTGAGCTAACCGGGTGGCGGTTACAGCCAAAGTAAAGAGGTCTATTAGTCTACATGATCCCCTCCATTTCCTCGCCCCCATCCCCCCCCCCCCTCCCAAGGTCTATTGACAGTTATCCCCAAATAAAAATATACCCAACCTCCCCCTCAATTTCACTATTCCAAACCCCTGCTCCCTCATTATCTTCACCTACAAGATCTTTACCATTGCAAATGCTTCCTTACCCTCTACCCCTTAATTCAAAGCTTTTTACCAGCTGCAAAATACTAAGCATATTTTTTTCAAAATAGTGTCAACTCATGGAAATCCATTGTATTTCATTTTAAAAAAGATTCATTATTACATTGAGCTTTGCATCTGGGGATAGGGGTCACGTTTTCTTCATGCTATTGAAACTGGCCATGGAATTAAATGTAAATATTAGCGCTAGTGGTGATCTCTACATTACTCTTCCAAGTAGTGTCCCCTCAGTTTCAGTGTGTAGATGTGCCACAAGTCAACATGCCTTATATTTTGATTGAAGGTTGACAGAAAGTGTTCTAACTGTGGCCATGAAGGAATGACATACCAGACACGACAGACCCGATCAGTTGATGAAGGACAAACAGTATTTTATAACTGTCCTCATTGCAAGTAAGTTTCATTTAGAAATGCATCATTTATGCATTTTATCTTACAACCACCACTCCCCATCAGGGGCTCCTCGCGAGGTTCACTCCACACGCCCTACCACTACATTCTATATTTAAAACATACGACACTCAACTCACATGTTGATCTTTATCGAGGGAGGAAACTGGAGGTCCCAGAGAAAAACCCTCATAGCAAGAGAGAAAACAAGACATCAAACAATTCAACTGGCCTGTGGCACATGCAACCCATGCTATCCTGTTCACTACATTTGTTAATATTACTGAAAGGATATTGTTCTTTCCAGATATCAAGAAACAGAGCATTCATGATGTAGTCAACATCCAAAGGCAGGCTTTTTATCCAATATAATAACATCTGACTTATTCAATTGTTTGTACAATTGCTAAGTTATAATCAGCTGATTATCTGCTCCAAATGGTGGTCAAACACCGACCGTCATGACAGTACTATAAGCCATAAAGAATTCTACTAAAAACTTGTGATTCAGCTGATTAACATTCCACACTGGACAAGAAATGCCATCGAGTGAAACCAACCAATAAAAAAAACTGGTTCATGTAATATGGTAGAACAAATCTTTCAGAGGAAAATGAGAGAACATTGGAAGGAAAAAATAGCAAAAACACACAAAAAACAATCAGTACTTTGTTGAATGATTTTTCGAAAAACAGTTAACCATCTTTTCACGATTTGCCAATGTTTTTTTAATTATTTTCGGACAACCTTCAACATCATCAAATGTTAGTGACAATTACTCTTGCTTAGCAGCTTGATCGCTGTTCACTATTTTTTTTGTTTTGTTTGTTTGTTGGTTTTTGTTTTGTTTTGTTTATCAGTCTTTTAGAGAAAAGAAAACAGTCTCAACATACGAGATAATGTACTCTTTTATTGCAAATAATTTGTAAAAAAGATTTGGGGTAAGAATAGCTATGATTGTTCAAAACACACCTTTAAACTAGTCGTTTCTTCAACAATCGATCAGTTGCCAGCTCATCACAACCAAAATCAACATATTATTAAAGATACAGTTTACCTAGTAAATAAGTGTGCTTGATGACCAATCAAATCAGACACTATTTTTAGATCATTAGACAAGAAAGTGTCTCATTCAATATCCAAATGTTGAGATGTGGGTTGATAGAAAAGTAGGCCTAGCCATAACCAACTTTGAGGTGTTTCTTTCATGTTTTTTATCAGTTCTCAAACTATTAATATTTCTTGAAGAAAATCAAAGCAAAAGTTGACAAAGCTTTATGGTATTCGAGATCGCATATCCCAAATGGTATCCAGTAAATGCACCTTCAGAAGTTCTTCTGAATTACAGGGAACTTGCCCAAGGATCAACTTGGCTTATAGATAGGCAAGTTTGCGTATGCAATTCAGTCTGTAGGCAAGTTCACTGCAAAATTCCATCTAAACACAATTGCTGTATTAATTACTTTTTTACTTTTTTCCATGAAATATTAGTAAATTTGAGAAATCTTGTTCCAATCAAGCAATTTGAAACTGTTATTAATTACAGTCAAACCATCTCAAGCGTGAACACGTAGAGGTCATTAAAGACCTTATTTTTGGAATTTTGATTTTATTATTCGATCTGAACATTCATCATTATTGAAAAAAAGTCTTTAATATTAAGAAAAAAAGAATAGTTTGAAAATTCAAATAACTTGGCTCTTAGGCTCTTGTTCATAACGGAAACATGAGTCATTGATATTACAAATATTCCTTTCACTAGGCTTTGAAGACTTCATTTTGATAATGAATGTTCGAATCAAATAATGACGCCTGAGGTGGTTTTGACTGTAATGCATTTTCATTATTGTTCATCTTAAGCTCTCCTATCTTTCCTTTAATCCATAATGCCGTAACTCAAGCTAAACCAAACAACAATTTTATCAAGTGTCCCTGAAAACAACCTCTTGTAACTCAAACATTGAATGAGAATTTAGCATGTTTAGTTGAAAAAATGCAACACAATAATTAGCTGTGTTGCTAAATTAACTAAAAATAAAAAAATTACAATTACAATATATTATATGGATCATAGGAAAACAGAATGAGTCATAGATTCCCTTCTCTTTTTTGATGGCGAAGGGATAACCATCAATACACATTGTCCTTAGAATAGTAAAGGCCTTGTTACATATTGAAACTTTTAGCTGAAACTTGCATGCAATGCCGTTGGGAGACAATTTAGTTTCATGGGCATTAGACAGCGCAACTTAGGGTGAAACTTATGCCACAAGAAAGTTTCACTAAAAGTAGAACTGTGGGCTTTAAAAGAATTGCTGGGTTTCAATCAGCTGATAAAAGTCTTTGAATCTCATTATCTTCTTCAAATTATTGTCAAAATAATGCTGACCACCATGTGCTGTCAACCCGAGAGAATTTTATTCTACAGGAAATGATACCAAGTGGAACCCAGCAATAAATGAATTTTAGAATGAACAAACTAGTGGACTGTAGAGGTTTTGCAACATCCCATGCCCACGCCAATAATACAGCTTGGGCTGCCTGTGGTTAGATCRCAGAACAATAGAATCCCTTTGCTCTTGGGAATTGAATTCTTTCTCAAAAAAAAGTAAAATGATGTATTGTTCCTGCCATCCAACATGTCACGTGGTGGTGCAATACCTCTATTACAAATCCTGCATTCTGATTGGCTCTACTAGTGGTCTATTTTCCATATTCAATGGTCAGGTAGGAAAATATCATTTTGTTACAAATCCTGCATTCTGATTGCCTCTACTAGTGGTCTATTTCCCATATTCAATGGTCAGGTAGAAAAATATCATTTTGTAACAAATACTACTAACAGTCCAACTAGTTTTTGTACCAGAGCAATTTTACTTGGCCCATAAAAAGTATGATCACTAGTTCTACTAGTTTGTTTTCAGGCCAAGTAAAATCACTCTTACTCATGCATGAGCTATGGGGTTAAATAGACCAGTTTGGTGTCTAGAGGGCTTTCGATCTGTAGCCTATACATGCAGGCTATGGGTCTAATTGACACAAGTGAAAAACATCTACCCAATGCTTTAAGTGCGTATGCAAAACTTAAGGCTTATTCTTTCACATTTTCCTTTTTTAATACAGTATCTTGGTCTCACAAAAATATACTCGCGAACGCTTTTTCAAGGTTAATATGGAATWTTAAATAATAAACTGAAATTGAAAAAAATGTAAAATACAACAAAGAATGATATATTTTTATATAAAACATCTACTTTAAGAAAATAATGCTTTAAGCTAACATATAAGGGAGCATTCATAATCTATGGATGGGGGGGACTTTGGGGATTATATATTTTGAAATTATTTTTTTTTTGTGTGGCCTGCCACTCAAACAACATTTTTTAGTGACCCCCAAAAATAGACTTTCAGTAGACACTATTAAATATCATAACATATAAAATCAATAATTATTATGAACGCTCCCTAAAAATAAATAATTGGCAACATATTAATAGAGCGCATAAAAACTAAAAACTATTAAAATTTTGTGTAAGTCATTATTTATCGCTAAATGAACTTCTATTYACCGTTTTCCATGCATCGGTTCACTGGTCAAACACAAAGCACTCAGTCGAGGTTGCAAGGTTCAAATTTGAATAATCCTTTGAAAGTACCTTGGTGCCTCGTTTGAGCGCTTTGTGTTTGACCAGTGAACCAATGTATGGTAAATGATGAATAACAGTCATCTTATTTTTAAATCAGTGAATGCCCGAGAGACTTTTGATTTATTTTTGAGGTACGTACAGGCCAGAGACATGGATATCTTTGGTCTATATATAGATCAAAGATTCAGATAAAAAAATACTCATGTTTCAGGTTTTCTAATCCTAATTCCCTGAGTGTTTGCCTCTACTTTAGTCAAAAACTATTACACTACAGGAAAACCACTAACTTTTGCAAAAATTAAATTTCTCTCTATACATATATACATTTCTCAAGTTTTTAAATTAACTCAAAGAGTTTTTTCGGTATCTGTCAAAATTCTTGAATGTGATCACTAGACGAATGGTTGTCAGAGTACGTACGTGGCAGTCTTAATTGCAGCTTTCTCGTGAAAATCAACTTTTATAAGTAGGCTGTAAATAATATATGCACTGAACTGACAACTTGAAACATGAGTATTTTTGCTAGTTTTAAATATTCAATTAATTTTTGTTAATTTTAAATAATCAATCCAATTAATTATAATAAATCGATGAGTAGTTCCAGAAAATATTCATGCCCGACCCATGCATGGGGAAATTGGAAATTCTGGAGGGGACGGGGTCAGAGACAGAACAAAATTACAGAGTTTGTATAGAAGAAAATTGGAAGTTCCTGGGGGTAGGAGGGCCGGATCGTTTTACCAATTCCAACCATGGTGGTGGAGGTATGGATATTTTCTGGAACCACACAATAAATATGAAACTAAGTTAATTTCTAATAATTTCTAATCAACGTTCCGTGATTACAGAAATAAGTCAAGGCTGTGGGACTGATGAAGGACTGATGAAAGCTGTGAGATATATAAAAGTTGAAATATTTCCAAATTCAAAATATTTTTGCTTTGAGTTCAAGATTTTTGATTTCATAATATATGATACTTTCCAGAGGAAAGGGTACTGCGATCAATAACCTTTTCTCAAATAATACTGTTAAACATTTATGTGAAGCATGGATTATGAAAAAGATAACTGTCAATGTATAACAACAAGGAATAGTTAAGAATTTTTTTTCAATTTGTTTGACAGTATACCTAATACATATAATATGACGAAACCAAATTTCCAAAACCATTCATTTTTCTAAAAATATATGCTGAAAAATATTTTATAAAAACCATTAAGCATATATATATAGGCCACAATATTTGAAACCTCAAACTTTCGTATTAAAGACCCATTGCTACTTACCATGATGCATCACAATTTGTTTACATTTTGAATCGTGACTCCACTGAAAAAACAATTCCAACATTTTGAATAAACTCTTAGATAGTCCCTAAAGCCGTAAAAGAATGTAAAAGAATCATTATTGTGCCTTAGTGCTATGTCGGAAAAGGATTTAATATAATCATGGACCATGAAATTTATCTGTGACCATGGTGCATCACGGTAAGTGGCAATGGGTCTTTAAACTAATTATGAATTTATTTTGTGAGGTTTCAACTTGTTAAAAATCTCTGTAGCCTCAGTATAGAAATTTGAAAGATCGACTGTGCCATATGCAGAATTGACAGCGTACATTACATTACGAACCAACTCAAATGTGAACACGTAGAGGTCATTAATGACTTTATTTTTGGATTCTTGATTTCATTTTTCTATTTGAACATTCATTATTGAAATAAAGTCTTCAAAGCCTAGCATATACCAAAGCCATCAGCATAATATATAGCTAAAATGCAAGAGCGTTTTGTGCAAGGAATATGTAATATTAATGGCTTGCCTTCCGTTTCTGCTATAAACAAGAGCCTACGAGCCAAGTTAAACAAATTTTCAAACTATTATTATCTTTTGAATATTGAAGATTAGTTTTCAATAATGAATGATTGAAATAAAAAAAGAAATCAGGAATCCAAAAATAGGAAGCCATTATAAATGTCTGCCTCTACATGTTCAAGCTTGAGGTGGTTTGACTGGAAACCTAACACTTGCCAAATGACAGCTCATAACAATTAACATTCACAGTATTAAAAATGGTCTTTAAATCCCAATCTGGGGAATATAAAATAATCTTCTCCCATTGATTGACAACTTTTCTTAAAAAGCTTTCCAATTGTTTTGAACCATATGACCAGCTAAGGATTTTAAAATACCTGACAAGCAGTTCATTTTACAACTATTAGCTTGCTTCAATGATTTTAAGTAAGCCAAGTTTTGTGTGACTGCTAGCTATACCTGCTATAAATAACACTGAAGGGGATAAAAAGATAATATCATGTTTAACATGTTACTTTACCTATTAATTATTACGTTATTATTATTATTCTATAATATTATTAATATTATAACTATTTTCTACATTAAATGTTTTGGGGAAAATTTCTCTTTTTAAATGAAATATAATAATTTTTAACATTTTACTTATTTTACTCATCTACATCCATCGCTTTTTCTTCATTTGGCTCGGTGGTATCCATTTTTTCTTCAATAGATTTTGCATTGAAAGTGCAAATCCCATCCCCAAATGTTCCTTCAACATGACTCTGTAGATCAGATACAATTGAAAGTGTCAATAAAAGAAATTAACTTTGCACCATTTCATGTAAGGAAACAACTAGTTGAATCTCATATTTTGTGAAAATTAGATTTTAATGATTCAGTTTAACTTACACTAGCTTAAGGTGACTGCCTGCTTTTGGAAATTGATTTTAAACTTCAATTTTCCGAATTGAAATTTAATGCTGATTCCAAATCTGGAAAGAAGAATTGGGTGTCCCTAACTTGTTTTCGAGATAATCAGCATTTAGTGGAAGCCTACGTTTTGCCCTGTTGAAGCTAAAAACGCGTATGGTTCTTCAATAAAATCTTGTAGATTTTTCAGCGGTTTTTGAGCGCGCGCACATATCATGGGGCTCAAATCGAACATTCAAAAGTAGGCAGCCACCTTAATGCCTATACATCTTACAGCATTGTGCAGTCAGGCTGCTGCAGGCTTTGCAGACACATCAGACATTCATATTACCACGTGCCTTAACATACAAAACCAAAGTACGTACTCATAAATTAAAATTAGCGTATATTTAATGTACTTACAAGCCTCAAGGAACAATCGTTAAGAATATGGGAACTGAGTTGCCCTTTTAAACATATTTCCCCACAAACAGCACAGGGTTTGAACTCCTTGTTACATTGGAATTGGTGTACCTGCAATAAATAATGGAAAGAAAATTAACAATCAATATGCCCTTTGCATTAACAGGTCATATGACCCATTACCCCTCCCCCCACCTTTTAAAAGAAGCGGTTATGTCAAAGTGAACCCATGTATCACCACAGGCAGCCCAAGCTCTGTTCTAAAGTGGTATTCTAGAGAACGTTATGGGAATTTGTTTCGATTGTATTTTAAATTGAAGAATAAAGTTTTCTAATCAAAACATGTAGTCTTGATTTTATGCCCTGTGCTCAATTTTGAACAAACACATTTTATCCACAATAAAAATAAATAATAATTTAATACTAATTAATAAATAATAGCTGATTGAGCGTACTTTGAAGAGAATGTCTGATATTTTTAAAAACAAGTTGTCCAGTTACACTTGCTTTTTAAGTCAGGTTAAATAATGCCTCTGGTCTGAAATATGACAGCTGCAGCCTGTTGTGAATATAAGAATTAAAACTGCGATTTTATTATTATTAATACCTTTATAAGCATGGCAGGTGTACCTCGCCATTTACACCCTAGGTGTGAATTTGGACATGGATCCAAAGAAGAAAGCCACTCATCATGATGAGAGCCATCCTAACAAATTTAAAGTATATATAAAAACATTCATTTTAAGCATGCCTATCACCCTTCTGACAATACTAGTACTCTCAGTGTTGATTCTACATGGGGTAAGATGTGGAATGACCCGAAAATATTTCATAGTTTGAGTGCGGCTTCTTGAAGTTATAAAGGTTTTTCCATGCCATATGCTAATAATGTTGTACGTATGAGGAGGCATTTATAGTTATTTGTTGTTCCTCGTAATTAACTCGAAACACCGGCTTCTATGTGAAAACTAACTTGCAATAATTTCGATAAGAGCAATGGGAAAAACAATGACGTATTCCAAATTTTATTTATGTGTGCCAGTAATGTTTTGTATATTAAATGATTACTTCTCATACGTCACAGCATTAGCATATGCCATGGAAAAAACTTTATAATTTCAAGAAGCCGCACTCAAACTATGAAATATTTTCAGGTTATTCCACATCTTACCCCATATAGAATCAATACATGTGAATATTGTCAGAAGGGTGATAGGCACTTTAAAGACAAAAGCAGCCCTTAAACGCTATAGTCCTATTTACAGCCAGCTGTTATAGAATCATCACCTATACTAGCTGGTGACTGGTCATGACTGCCAGCTGTCAAACCATCACCAAATTAAGTGAGTTGACAGCAATATAACTGGATGCCTTAGACTACTTCAAGCTAAGAGTTCCACTTAATTTAAGGTGTCTCCAACACAATTGCAAGTGAATTAAGCAATTTTTTCAGCTTGCTCTTATCGCTTCAAAAATACTCGAATATTTCTGAATTTAGCGTGTGATGGCTCAAACATTATATATATATATATATATATATAAGAAATCTGTGAATCAATTTTCCGTAAAATAGTGCTCAATACATCGATAGAAGTAGAGCAGAATATTTGTTTGAGAAGAAAAAGTCAAGACAACATTTTTCCCGACAAGCCTGTTTCGTGAATTGCTTCACTCTTCA